TAGGCAACCATACTCACATCTCCTGGTCTTTCCCAAAGTTAAACCCATTTTGGGAAGATGTTTATAAAGTACTTAGTGACATGTCCAACACTGACATTCATTTTGACTCCATTTTAGCAATTTTAGGGGCAATACTTGAGGATATAAAGGAAAGAAATTTGAATTATTTACTTCAGATATTACTTGCAGCAGCCCTGAATAGCATCGCATCTAAATGGCTCAAGCTAGAACCACCCATACATGAACAGTGGATCCAACAGTGGATCTTTAGCTGAACATTTTGAGGCAAGATGGAGCTTAATTTCAAAGGTATTACACAATGACTCATGAACCAAAAAGTAGGGGTAGAAATGTGCATACATACCTATAAATCTGGCGTGTTATTGTTTTGTTCCTATGCTTGCTTTAAAGGGGTCATATGACGTTACTAAAAACAGATTTTTTTTGTGTATTTGGTGTAATGAAATGTGTTTATGCAGTTTAAGGTTAAAAAAACACATTATTTTCCACAAACATTATTGTTTCTCCTCTATGCCCCGCCTTTCTGAAACGCGTCGATTTTTTACAGAGCTCATCGTTCTGAAAAGCGAGGTGTGCTCTGATTAGCCAGCAATCCAGTGCATTGTGATTGGCCGAATACCTCAAGTGTGTGATGGAAATGTTACACCCCTTACCATACTGTGATGCCGTGTCCTGGTGCGACGAGACAAAACCAATAAAACCCATTACAAACGATGCATTTGTTGAGACATAATTACTTATTATAATGACTTATACTGTCTTTTTACGTGTTGCGTTGCATGGCAAATCCTTTAAATATGAATGCGTACTTACAGGCTGTGAGTCAGCATTATTTGTCAGAACACCGGCATTGTAGGCTACTCTCCCAGGAAACAGTCCTTGTCCTCCATAAAATGCGCTGCACACATCTGAATATTTGGTTTGAACTGTTCTGGAACAGTGTTGTAACTACAACTTAACCGCTGATTTCTAGTTGTGTCCTCTTTTGGAAGGCCAAACAAAGTAGTTTCGCTTTCACAACGAAACACACCATCTCCACGACATGGCGGTGGCGGTAACAATACTACAGCGAGAATCAAAGTTACGCCTTCTTTCTTTGTGTGAACATTTGGGCGGTGTTATGCAAATCTTCCCACATCGTGACGTAGACATGTGGGGGCATGTTTAAATGAGGCGTTTTAGGAGGGCGTGGACGAGTCTTAACTTTTATAAAGAATATCTCTTTGGGTTTGAGACTTCAGTCTTTGCAACTTTAGGGACCTTATCTATTCACAAACAGCTTGTAACACTCCAAAGAGAAAGGAAAACTCGAAATCAGATTATATGACCCCTTTAAAAGTTTGAATATCTATTTTGTTTCTTTATTTATGCTCCCCTTTTCCTATCTTAATTAACCATTGATGAGAGAGAAGAGGATCTTAACACACCAAGCCTGCAGCCTTGTCCATCCCGGAGACAAAGGCCGCTGCCCAGTCTGACCAGGTGTGCAAGCAACCATCTGTCTGGTTCCCTAGGCTCTACCTGTGACCATCGTCCTTCCCAACTCCATAGGGTTCCCTCGTCCCTTCGGCTCCTCTGCCACGGACTTCCAAGCTTTCAGCTTCACCTCAGTCCTCACTCCCACCAGCTCCGTCTCAGTCCTCTGGCACCCGAGCTCTATCTTGGCCACTCATGACCGTGGCTCCACTTTGGTCTCCTGGTCCTCAAGTGTCACCTGCTCTCTCTGTTCACCAGACTCCACCTGGGTCATCACCTTTGTCAGTTGGCCTGGCTGGCTTCTGGGTGACTCTGAGCTCTTGTCCACTGCCAGCTCCATCCTTATGTATTGGTCCTTTTTTTTTTACAAAAAAATGAACACAGAAGAACTGTATCTTTTCTGAGATTAAGTGGACACCTAAGTGTTTGCTTAATACTTTGTTTTTGTTGTCTAGATTTTAATTTGCTGCTAGGAAAGATCATTCTGTGTACTATCTATTTCTAGATAGTGTATATAGTTTTCAGAGTTTGTTATAATTTGTTTTTTGATTGCACTTATTTGTAATTAGAAAAATAGATTATGAGTTCAAACAGCTTACCACCATAAGCAATTAAAAATTAGGCAACCAGCTTGATTTAATTTACACACGTAATTGCAGACAACATTTTGGTAAAACCCCTACACATCTCTGATCATTTCTTTATAACATTTAACGTACATCCTGCTACCTGTGTGCCACCAACCCCTCTACGGGTTACTTTTAGGTGAAACCTACTCTCCCTTTCACCCTCCCATCTTTCCTTTGTAGTTATGCTCCCCTTTAACCTCTTGTCTAGACAATATATGTCCTCTCCCCTTCAGGCCAGCACGTGCTACCCCTTCCAACCATACTGACACATCTTCATATTTCCACAAGATCAACAGCACTTCGGACACACATAAAAACATTAAATTCTCTCCTCTGTCCCCCTCCACCACCTCTTTAACAGCAGATGATTTTGCCACATTCTTCACAGACAAAACTAAAACCATCAGCAGTCAGTTCTCAGCTCCACACACATGAATTCAAACCAACCACATCCACTGCTAAAACTTCCCTCTCCTCCTTCTGTCCCCTCACTGAGGCAGAAGTATCAAAGCTTCTTCTTTCCAGCCATCCTGCAGCCTGCCATCTAGACCCAATCCCCTTACATCTTCTCCAAACAATCTCTCCTACACTCTGACCAGCACTCACACATATTATCAACACATCTCTTCACACAGGCATTTTCCCCACCGCATTCAAGCAGGCTCCAGTAACCCCACTGCTCAAAAAGCCTACATTAAAGACTTCACTTGTAGATAGCCACAGACCTTTCTGTCTCCTTCCATTCATAGCGAAAACACTTGAACGAGTTGTTTTCAACCAGGTGTCATTATTTCTTTCACAGAATAGCCAACTGGACGTTAACCAGTCCGGTTTCAGAAGTGAGCATTCAACTGAGACTGCATTACTGTTTGCGGATTGCGAAAGCTGATTCCAAATAATCAGTTCTCATTCTGCTGGATCTATCTGCCGCTTTTGGCTCTGTGAATCATCAGATCCTCCTGTCCACCTTCTCATCACTGGGCATCATCGGGATTCCACTTCATTGGTTTGCATCTTATCTCACAGGTAGATCTTTCAGGGTGACCTGGGGAGGGGAGGTATCCAAAGTACATCAACTGGTCACTGGGGTTCCTCAGGGATCAGTTCTTGGAACCCTCCTCTTCTCCATATACACTGCATCACTGGAATCCATCATACAGGCACATGGCTTCTCCTACCATTGCTATGCTGATGACACTCAGCTCTATCTTTCATTTCAACCAAATGATCCAACGGTAGCTGCATGGATCTCAGGCTGCTTGGCTGACATCTCGGCATGGGTGAAAGAACATCACCTACAGCTCAACCTGGCAAAGACTGAGCTTCTCATCTTCCCTGCCTCTCTGACTCTACAGCATGATTTTACCATCCAGCTAGGTTCATCACTTAGGTCAGAAATCTTGGTGTAATCTTTGATCAGCTGACTTTCAAAGACCACATTGCAAAAACCGCTTGATCTTGCAGGTTTGCATCGCACAACATCAGAAAGATCAGGCCCTTCCTAACGGAGCATGCTGCACAACTCCTTGTCCAGGCCCTTGTCATTTCTAGGCTGGACTACTGCAATGCTCTTCTGGCTGGACTTCCATCATGCACAATTAAACCTCTTCAAATGATTCAGATTGCAGCAGCACAACTGATCTTCAACGAGCCCAAAAGGGCCCACATCACGCCTCTCTTTATCTCCCTCCACTGGCTGCCGGTTGCGGTTTGCATCAAGTTCAAGACATTTATGCTTGCATATAGAACAGCCTCAGAACAGGCTCAGCACCCTCCTACTTCTACTCACTCTTACGAATCTACATCCCCTCCAGAAGCCTGAGATCTACAAGTGAGCGACGCCTCGTGGTACCATCACAGAGAGGCACAAAATCACTTTCCAGTACCTTTTCATTCACTGTTCTTGACTGGTGGAATGATCTTCCCACCCCCATCCGGAATGCTGAATTCCTGACAATTTTCAAGCGACAGCTGAAAACACATCTCTTTCGTCAACATTTGCCTGTATCCTAAAAAACAACAACTTTTTATTTTCACTTTCCTTAATCCCCCCTGTCTAGTACTTGTATTGATCTGGACAATGTCTGAAACTTTGTATTACAAGCACTTCCTGTGATGAATCACTTGTTGTATTACTCAGTTTTAATTCGCTTTGGATAAAAGCGTCTGCTAAATGAATAAATCTAAATGTAATCTTTAAAAGTAATTTCCCAGAATCTGCATTGACCATCATGGTGTTCAGGTGAAGACATATCTGTTCCGCAACCACTTACCCAATTCATAAGCAAGAATGGACACTGTGACGAGTGGGGCGGAGCAGAGAGCCATGGGAGCGAAGCAAGTCCGGTGGGGCAAATGATAATGTGTGACACCTGCGCCACACCACTCCAGTCCCATGGAGGAGCTCCGGAAGGATAAATGAAGGTGTGACGACAGTAAAGGATGAGAGAGGACCAGGCCTGGAATATTTATGTTGCTGTTTTGTTTATGTTTATGCGGCAGTCGTCTGTGTCGTCTGCTGTCACTTACTTTTGTTGTTTGCTTACTTTGGAATTAAAGTTTGTTAAATGTCTGCCGGTTCCTGCCTCCTTCTTCCCTGAACTTGAACATTGTTACAGACACATTCTATAAGAAGACTTTAAACTATCTCTTCTTGTTCTCCCTTTTCTGTTTTTTAAAACATGACTACAAAGCTGTAACCAAATATTTATGATTGAGGAGGATCAAATGTAATATACTGCATTAGTTCAACCATTAGTTTAGGAGGTGCTCCCACTTAATTTTCATGGTTATGTCCCTACATGTCTTCATGGTATACTACTCATTTTCTTAATCTCAAGTGTATGATCTATAATGTTTTTTTGAATGTATCAGGCACAAGACTGAGAAGGACTTTCAATGTTTTCTTCATGGAGGTGGATTCAAAGAATCAGACACGGATATCCTTTCTCAGTTACAGGAATATGGTAAAGTTCCTTCCAATTTTAGTTGTGATATTGAAAGTACATACATTAAATATTGTTTGTTTCATATTATTCATATTGAAATAATTTAGATTTATTAAAATAATAATACATTCACGACCAGCTAGTTTGCTGATCTCAGTTGGCTTGAGAGTTTTCCTAGCATGGCCAAACTGGTTTCAAACTAGACCAGCCTGACCAGACCCAAGACCAGCAAACATTTTTTTTCTTCTTTTTCAGCAGGATGATTTTATATTATTGATTTATACTGAGAGTCTGTACTAGTTGCTTTTAGATCACATAAAGTGCATCCTTTGTGTTTAACTAGAGTTGGACCTGGAACAGGAACGTGAGGAGTTTCGATTAACCACAGTGGAACCTATTTATCAGCTAAGAGATGATCTGCAGTACAGACTCGCATCACATTGCTCAACAGCCAATCACATCAGTGAGCCTGAGAAAGTCTTACAGCAGGTAACCAATAACAATCAACAGTGCAATCATTCTTATTGATCATACACATCCATTTTCAACACAAAATGGTGTTTTATATATATATATATATATATATATATATATATAGTGGTGGCAAAAATTATTAGAACAGTAGTATTTTCACCGGCTAAAAAATATTTTAAGTCAGTTGTTTCTAGCTATTTATCAGCTAAGAGATGATCTGCAGTACAGACTCGCATCACATTGCTCAACAGCCAATCACATCAGTGAGCCTGAGAAAGTCTTACAGCAGGTAACCAATAACAATCAACAGTGCAATCATTCTTATTGATCATACACATCCATTTTCAACACAAAATGGTGTTTTATATATATATATATATATATATATATATATAGTGGTGGCCAAAATTATTAGAACAGTAGTATTTTCACCGGCTAAAAAATATTTTAAGTCAGTTGTTTCTAGTTTTTGCTGTATTGTGTCAGTAGGAAATATCAGTTCACATTTCCAAACATTAATTTTGCCATTAATTGTAATAATCCAGTGAGATTTTTGTTTGCACAAGGAGTCTGACAATAGCCAGTGCTCCACACAGAGATCTGATCTCATTCAGTCTGTCTGGATTGACATGAAGAAACAGAACAAACTGAGACAGACTAAATCCAGAAGAACTGTGGCAACAGCTCCAAGATGCTTCAAGAGACCTACCTACCTGCAAAGCTAGAGCACTGTTAAAAGTTTTAGGCACTTGTGTAAAAATGCTGTAAAATGAGGATGCTGTCAAAAATAACGTCATAATTAACTTCTATTAACTAAATTAAATCAACATTTGGTGTGACCATCCTTTGCGTTTAAAGCAGCTTTTGCCCTAGGTGCACTTGCGCATAGTTTTCCAGGTAGCTTTGCAGGTAGGTAGGTCTCTTGAAGCATCTTGGAGCTGTTGCCACAGTTCTTCTGGATTTAGTCTGTCTCAGTTTGTTCTGTTTCTTCATGTAATTCCAGACAGACTGGGTGACGATGAGATCAGATATCTGTGTGGAGCACTGGCTGTTGTCAGACTCCTTGTGCAAACAAAAATCTCACTGGACTACTACAATAAATGGCTAAATTAATGTTTGGAAATGTAAACTACAAGTGTTTTTCTACAAGTGGCATACCTCATTATTATTGTTTCCTAATGAGGATTTACACTTGATTCTACACATTGCATATTTTAGTACAGAAGACTGAAAGGCTTTCTTGACTATTAACATAAATTGTCATCAGATTAACTGAACTCATGTATGACTTGATATTTTTTCCAATAATTATTTTTCTTTATTATTTAAAAAATAAACAAATAAAGTCTGTGTATTTATTTATTTGGATGTGTCAGTTGGGGTATAAGATGTGCAATTTTCAGATAAATGTTCATGTTATATATTTTGGTTGCATTTGTGAGTTAATAAAAATTTAACTATTTGCGTAAAATAGCCACAAAATATAATATTGATTAGGAGTGTAACGATTCAGATTGCTCATGGTTCGGTTCAGTTCAGTTCATGGTTTTAGGGTCACAGTTCGGTACGGTTCGGTTCGGTTCGGTATGTGCTATGTTCAGGGAAAAAAGGACTATGGTCAAATAAAAATAAAGAAAAGAAAAAACAAATAATCAAACTAAATGCAACAGCACAAATAAATACAATAGAGCAAAGATACAAATAAAATAAACAGTGTCTTTCAGGTGTTTAACAGTAATTTTCAGGCACAGAAATTTAAAAGTAAACAAATGTAAAATAACAGTGCATATTTCACTGTATAAATTAAAGACCAATTCTTGTTGAAGTTACAAAAGCTATTCAATCAAGAGAAGTGAGTGATTTCCTTGTGTTTTGTTGTTTAACATTAAAAACATTAAAAAGCAGGAATAGACTGCTGTTCCTTTAAGACATAATTCACAGATCCTGTACACTAATGCTGATACCGCGATACGTATGGTCATAAGATTTTCGGTTCGGTTTGAATATTGTTACACCCCTAATTTTGAAATATTGATCGATATTCCCCTGAATTGAATTGTATCATAATCATATCACTGAATTTTTTGAGGTATTGACAAATATTGTATTACTGGCATGAGAAATTATATCAGACCGTATCATGATGAACTGTCCGATTTATGCCCTTACTCAATGCGTGTTTTATGAGAACACAAATGTGCGTAATGACAATGTAAACATTGAAACTTCCTAACCATAAAATAAGATAGTGCTCAAACAACACATTTTTGGCACAAACACAAAAACTAAAAACTTTCGGGACTGGAATAATACTACAGAAAAGGAGATTTCTTGCCTCCCACTGCCAGCAGCTTACGGAGACGGGAAAACACAGCTGCCTACATTTCAAACAGATGAGAAAGAAAATGCCTTTTGTGGAATCTACTTGCTGGATGAACTTCCACAGACTTCTACAAAGGATTGTGGTTCTTGAAACAAAGTTACTTACTGGACTTCCAAAACAGGTGGAACACACAGCAGAGCACCAGCACAGACCCCTTCAGCATACACCCGGTGAGTCCTGTGAATCTAGTGAATCTCAACATTTTGAATCTCATACCAAGTGTAGAGGAACAAGCCGAAAGTTATTGACACACTAATCAATGGCAGAATCATTGCCGCAGAATCAACCTCTACACCAGATACAGCTATGACGAGGCTTGTGAACACTGGTATTCTACCATCTCCTATACATCTTGAAAACAGATTTGAAGCATTAATGAATTTGGGTGAGGAATCCCCAAATGTGATTGAACATGGATCGTATCAGCCAGCAGCTAACATTGCTACTAACAGGCGCTCAAGATTGATCAGACAGCGGTATTCAGTTCAGAGCACAGCCAAGCTCTATTAGGGATGTCAATTTTTGATCATTTCCATGATCAATCATTGTTTAAATTAACGATCAATTATTCGATTAATCGTTAACCTTATTGCTGCAAAATGCGTCTATTGCAGTGGCACGCAGTCACCGGTGTGACAGGATGTGCAAAAGCCACTCAAAAAAAACCCTGCTTTCTCAACCGAATTTAAGGGGTTTTAGTCTGAATAAAATGCTAGTAGCAGGATTGTAAAATGAATAGATGTGATTATGATCATTTGATAAAATGAAGAGAGCGCGCTGTGCGTTTGAGATCATTTTACTTTGTTGACTGTTACCTATCCCGGCACGGAGAACGCTGAAAGCGCCTCTTTAAATGGTTTCGTGGTGCTTGTTGTTGTATTTTAAAACACAATTGCAATGTTTTCAACTGACATTATGGCATTTAAAATAAAATTAAACGTGGCTGTGCTGCGCAGTCAGTGAACCGCTTCCATTTGCTGTAGCAAAACACACTGTTGCTCACATGAAACATTTTTATGTGAGGAGTCAAGGACCAGTACTTAATTTGATCCTGCTGGATCCTGTTCCGGAAAATGTCAGATTTTTAGTTTTTGCGTTCCGGTAGGCCTATTTGTTTTAAAAAATCCGGCATTTACAGTGCATTAGATCTGAGCGAGCGCGGGTTTGTATAGATGTATTTGGAGGTTATTACTCACGTCTCATTCAGCACAAATCCAAATGTTTCCATATTCGCAATGTATTTGAATGTTAAACTATTATTTATAATGTAAACTAGGCTTGTACTTTACACGCATTCGCATATAGACGGAAAAGATCATCCTCTTCACATGAGCAAAAACGTCCTTGGCATAACAGCAGAGTGGACCGGTATACTACGGTCTATTTAAACTGACCAATGTAACCTTTTATTTTTATGGTTGACTATTTTATTTTGATAATGAACAGACTACGATGTAAGTATGAATTGCTGTAATATGTGGGGTGTGCACGCGTGAGGTGCCGGTGCGATCGAACAGCTGAAACATAAAAAAAACTCACTTTTTGGAGTAAGATATAATTGTAGCGTCTCGACCAATCTGACACACTAATTTTAATTTGATTTAACTAGAAACACACAGCGTCTCCCTGACATGGCTGCATCAACACTAACTGCGGTTACTGAAACCACGCCTTCTTTCTTTGCTGAACATTTGGGCGCATTATGCTAATATTTCCACATAGTGAGGTAGATATGTGGGGGCGTGTTAGAACGAGCCATTTTAGGTAGGCGTGGCAGAGTCTTAACTTTGATAAAGAATATCTCTTTGGTTTTGAGACTTTTAGTCTTTGCAATTTCAGGGATCTTGCCTATGCACAATCAGCTTGTAACACTCCAAAGAGAAAGGAAAACTTGAAATCGCATCATATGACCCCTTTAAAGCATTCCATTTTGTTCCAGGGCTTGACAACCTTGTGCCCTAGGCTAGTTAGGTCCTGCAGAAACTTGTGAAAGATGCGCGTAGTTGTGGCATCACCGTTTAGTGACATAATTGAATGCTTCAGGAAAACATATTGTCCGTGTCAGTCACAGCAAATTTTAATTGCTGTTTTGAATCCAGCAATTATTTATTTACCAATTATAAGCTCTGATTATGACAAGTGTGGTATAAAAGCTTTGTTTAGTAGAGGAATAATTGGCTAGCTGGAAAATGTTCCATCGCGACCATGCTTTTGGATGCCGTTCGAGCCCATAGCCTACATTTACGCGGCTTTGTTCTGGTTTGCCGGTTGGTCACAAATTTCCACAAATTCAATAATATTTAGGCATTGTTTCTTTTCCTAAATCCTCACTGTCTAACCCTCTAATTTTGCAGGTTTATTTTATTGTCATTCACCTTTTATCTCTGTTTTCGCATCTCTTACTGTGGTAAACATGCGGAAAGGGAAATTAAAGATTTCATGGCAATGAATTAAGAATTCGTTCGATTTATTAATTTGTTCATTTTAGTTAAATCATGGGTTATTTAAGGAACAAAATTAATGAAACATGGACAGTGGTCACAAATTATTATGTCGTAGTAAAGAATGAATAGCATATCTGTCCTGTGTCCCGCAGCCCTGCAAAGCGCACGATATGAAACAATTATCTGGGGAAATTAGTTACAACATTTCTATTGCTTTCCATGTTGAAGAACTTTGTGTTGTTTCTATTTTAATGTATTTTTAAAGTTTAAATCACATTAAAAGCTTAATTTGTACATTATGAATGAATGATGATGCATTTATATACCGTCACTCACAGCTGCTCGCACGTTTTTTGGGCATGAGCCGCATGCAGCCCAAAATTAAATAGCTTAATCGACCATCGTTAGCTTTAATCAACTGCATCGCTTATCGACAATTAATCGATCATCGATTAATCGTTG